CCCCCCCCCCTCAATATCTGCATTGCTGCCTTTGCCTTCTCCCACCTCCCTGGGGATTCCAAATGGCTCCCAAACCCAATGCCAGTTGCGTTACTCTTGCAAGTTGTGTTGCTCTATGTTTTTCAGGCTGCACGGAGAGTATGTTTCAGCAGCATTCTCTCCTGACATTTCATAGCATCCTGAGAGATTCTGTTGGAAGTGCGGCAGGCAGGAGAAAGAACCCTTGCCTGTGTGAAGCGAGTGTGGCTGTTGCAATTAGCCAGCTTGATTAGCATTCAGCAGCCATGAATCTGCAAAGAGTATTTGCATAGAGGTGGCCTGGCCGTTGCTGCCTGGAGGCACCCTCTGCTTGGGAGGCGTTTGCTGCCACTTGGTTGTTTGCTGCCTGCCTGAGGTTACCTTGTTTCTGGGTGGTGTTCCTTATTTACTGTCTTGATCCTGGTGTGTGCATGTGTTTTGTTAATATTGGTAACCAGATTTTGTTCTGAAGATGCCATTAGTCACAGATGTAGGCGAGAAACGTCAGGAGAGAATGCTGGTGGAACTTACTGGTCATACAGACCGGAAAACTCCCAGCAATTCAGTGAGTCCGGCCACAAAAGCTGTCTGTAGGCTGTTAGGAATTGTGGGAGTTGAAGTCAGAAACACCTGGAGGGAGGGAGGGAGGGCGGGCGGGCGGGCGGAGGGGGGCCCAGGCCCACTGAGAGGGGTCGGGTCACAGGAGAAACGTCAACAGGGCTGGCTTGCATTGCGAGGCCCTTCCCGGCAGGAAGGGGCGGGACTGGATGGCCTTAAGGGCTCCTTATCATTCTCGTCGTCATCATCATCATCATCATCATCACCATTATTACTTTCATCTTCATTATTATATTATTTACTATTATTGTAGATGTATTTGTACATGTGCAACCATGGTTCTAAATGGTTCTAAAGTTCTTACAAAACTAAAGTTCTGGTGGTGAACTCCAACACAACTTTCAAAATTTCATGATAAATGGCAGTTCCTAATAAGTTCTGTCATAAAAAACACCAATCATGAAATAATTATGAAATTTTGAAAGTTTTGTAAGAGTTCTGACATTTTCACCACCAGAACTTTAGCAACACTGTCGAAGCAAAGCACCAGCGCCCCTAGTGTTCACCACCAGAACTTGAGTTTGGTAAGTACTTTAGAACGGACCATGGTTGCACGCGCCTAAGCGGGCGGACGGCACACACGCCCATGAGGTCCAGGCGCCTGGGCCTCCTCCCTGCACGCGGGGCTCCTCCTCCCATGCGGGGACAAGGAGCAGGGCCTTCTCGGTGGTGGCCCCTCACCTGTGGAATCCACTCCCTGGGGAAATTAGATCAGCGACATCCCTCCTTTCCTTCAGGAAAAATTGAAAACTTGGATTGGGGACCAGGCATTTGGACATTCTGGCAGCTAAAGAAAGGAGTTTGACAATGGACAGGAATTGACTAAGCGGAATGGAATTATGGCACTCTGAACGCTGAACATGAGATTAATTTCATTGATTGTGTTATGTACTGATTGTTTTAACTTGCTAATTCTTTTAACTGCTGTTTTGTATGTATGTATATCTTGTGTAGGCATCGAATCGTGCCTTTCTGTAAGCCGCCCTGAGTCCCGCCCCCCCCCCCCCGGGGATTGAGAAGGGCGGGGTAGAAGTACCCGAAATAAATAAATAAATAAATAAATAAATAAATTTTTAAAAAAAACAAACTACAAGAAAGGAGATTCCATCTGAACATGAGGAAGAACTTCCTGACTGTGAGAGCCGTTCAGCAGTGGAACTCTCTGCATTCCCCGGAGGGAGTGTGGTGGGGGCTCCTTCTTTGGAGGCTTTGAAACAGAGGCCGGATGGCCATCTGTCAGGGGTGATTTGGATGCAATATTCCTGCTTCTTGGCAGAAAGGGGTTGGACTGGATGAGGGCCCAGGAGTTGGTCTCTCCCAACTCTTCTAGGATTCTAGGATTATTATTATTATTATTACCATCATCACCACCATTTTTATATTAATATTTTCATTATTTTTATTATTATTTTACCACAATAATAATAACACTGTTCTACAAATTTTCAGTTTTTCTCAGTTGCGGAAACGAAATGTGCCGTTTCTTAATAAATTTAACATGCTGAATTCAAATATAATAATTAAATGTGTTAATTGGCTCTTGTTTTTATGCAACAGCTATTTCAATTTTCTCCACAATAGGTAATTCGTTAATATGATGATACTGCGCCTAACCTTCCTGCATGTCTATAAACCGTGAATATTTACTAAATTTTAGTCAAATTATATTGCCAATAGTTTATACATGAGAAATATTTATTTAATTAGTCTATTGTTTATGTTTGTGCAGCAAGAAACTCTATTCGTAGGCCGAATGCAGTTGAAGAGTCTGTTTAAATGTCACTTGAATCGTGACTTTAGTTTCTCTCCTGTTTGCTTCTCTGGACTTTTCTTTTGTCTTCAAGGGAAGGATTCCCTCTCGCAATGAATGCTCCAGCAGGAGTCTGACAGCATGGACGGAGTCCATTGGCCTTGATCTCTTTTTTCAAGAGTGCTTCATTGACACACGTGCGAGGAGGCATCACTACAGTCAAAAGAGCAATGTCAAACGATGCTTAACGAGACTGTCTCCGTCTTCATCTGACTGACCCTCACCGTTCCAAAGTCTGGCCTGATAGAGGACTTTCTGGCTTTTGCACACGGCACTCATACTGCGTCATCAAACTTTCTAGAGTATTCTAGAATCTTCCATAGTGTAAGTCGCAACATGCATTTTTTCAACCATACGTGATCACGTGATTGCTTATATCATAAAAACTAGAGCCAATATACATTTTTAATAGGCCTGTGCGGTTTCGTTCGTTAATTCGTTAATTCGTTATTAATTCGTTTTTTTGGGCATTTCCGAAGCGATATCAAAACACATTTCCAAACCCGGAAGGGTTTTAAAATATCGAACCGGCAAGCCCCCATAGATTTAACGAGCTTCCGCTCATTTCGTTAATGGGGTGGAGGCTGCTGGAGTGCTGGTGCCTGGGAGCCAATCAGGCGCTCCCAAGCAGTGCACTGTGGGTCCGTGGCTGTTTGTTTTTGATTGGCCGGCGAGCCCTTTCAAAGCGGCTCCGCGCGGCCGTAGCTCATTGCTGCAGAGGGCGAGGGAGTTTGCATTGGGTTGGCTTGGCTGCTAGCAACTGGATTGGATTCATTCCTTGCTGCTGTGAGTGCTGCTTGCTTCATTTGCTGTCTCTGCCTGTGTTTGGTCCACATTTGGGCCATTTTTTGGTTAATTTTCCATTTTAAAATATTTTTTAATATTATTTTAATATTATTCTTAAAAAATACAAAAAATATTCTAAAAATTCGTTAATATTTACAAAATTTCGTAAATACCAAAACTTTTTTGGGGGAAAGTTTTGTAATTATTTTAAATATCGAAACAAAAAAACACCCCAATTACAAATCGATTTTAGAAACAAATTTTTTCTTGATCAAACAGGCCTAATGTCATTTTCGTTTTCAGCACCCCAAAATCATAAAAGAACAACTATTTTCAGGCCCAAAACTTTTTCTCCGTTGAACAGTGCAATTATTTTCATGATGATGTGTGTCCGTACCCCACTTTTCCTCTCCAGGAGGAGACCCCCCAGCCCTGGGACCCGATGGTCAAGCGCTTACCTCTTCCTCCTCCTCCTCCTTCTCCTCCCGCTCCTTGACCTCCCGGACATCCTCCTTGGGAGCGGTCAGGGGCTTTTCGGCCTCTCTCTTGGCCCTCCTTGTTTCCTGACCGCCTTCTCCTCCTCCTCCTCCTCCGGGGCCCCTGCTGCTTCCGGCCACTGCCTCTTCTTCCTCTTCCTTTTCCTCTTCCTCCCCCTCCCTCTCAGGAGCGGGCGCTCCTTCCTGCTTTCCGGGGCCTTCCTCGTCCTTCTCTTTTGATGGCGAAGGGACGACGGAGACCTCGGGGACCGCGGCCGGAGAGGACTCTTCTGCCTTTGCAAGCTGGACATCCTCCTCCTCCTCTTCCTCTTCCTCCTCCTCCTTCCTGACGGCCGGCTTTTCTGTCCCTGCGGCCACGACAGCTTCCTCTTCCTCTTCCTCCTCCTCCCGGCCTTCCTCCCCAGAGCCTTGGTTTGGGCGGAAGGCCTCCTCCTCCACCTCCATCAGCAGCCCTGCGCCGCCGCCCTCTTCCTCCTCCTCTTCCTCCTCCTCGCCCCTCAATACTAATTTGGGGGGCTCCTCTTTCCCGGGAAGCAGTTCGGGGGGCTCCTCCCGCTCCCCCTCCTCCTCCTCCTCCTCCTCCTCCTCGCTGCGCTGGCGCAAGGCGGGCATCATCCCTCCTTCCTCCTCCTCCTCCTCCTCGTCCCCCGTCAGGCCTTCCTCTTCCTCCGTCAGGCCTTCCTCCTCCTCGTCAAAGTCCTCCTCGTCCTCCTCGTCCAGCTCCTCCAGCTCCTCGTCGTCCATCTCGTCGTCCATCCCTTCGAACTCGCCCTCCTCCTCGTCAAACTCTTCATCCTGGGGGGAAACAAAGGGTGAGCGGAGAAGGCGCGGTCTTTGGCCTTTCCTCCAGGCCTTTGGGACTTCAACTCCCACAATTCCTGGCCTTCCGCTTAAGCGGCTGAGGGGGAAAAGGAAAGGGCCTGAGGCCAGGAATTGTGGGAGTTGAAGTCCAAAACACGTGATTGCATTGACTGCAGTGGCACGCCTTTTTCCCTGGCAGTTCAAAGGCATGGTTTATCAGTCTAACAGCTGAGCTACCTGTGTGCCATTACAGGAATGCTTGTGAACATGACTTGTTGACTTTCCTTGACTGGTGGTTTTCCAAAGGTGTTCCCCAGACGTTCACGGAGAGTCACCTTTCCCCAAAGGACAGGTCATCGTTTTCCTTTCCTCAAAGGTCTCCCAAGGGAACGGCCGCTCCGGACGCTGCCCACTGACCTCCTCCTCGTCCTCCTCTTCCTCCTCGAAGTAGTCCTCCTCCGCGAAGTCCTCCTCGTCCTCCTCATCTTCCTCGCTGCTGTTGATGTTGATGACGGTGGGGTCCTCTTCGACCAGGGCGGGGAGCGGGGGCTCGCTGGACGCGGCCGCAGCGGCCGGAGACGGGGGCAGCATCATGGCCACTGAGGGGGGTGGTGCCGACAAGGAGGAGGCCGGCGGCACGGCACTCAGAGCGGCGGCGGCGGCAGCGGCAGGAAGAGGGGCAGGGACCACCACGGGGGGGAGGGGCGCCAGGGGGGGCTCGGGGGGCCCCTCCTCCTGGGCGAGGGAGGGGGGCGAGGCGGAGGAGGAGGGGCCGGTGGGCAGCGGGGGGGGGGGCAAGGGCAGCGGGGGGGGGGCCGCGGGGGGGAGGAGCGGGGGCGGCCCCGAGGAGGCGGCCAGGGTCCCGTTGGGCGCCCTCCCCGGCTGCCCCTTGGGCACGATGACCACGCTGTCGTCCGAGTCGCTGTCCAGGGAGATCTCCACGTCCTCCTCCTCCTCCTTGTCGTAGTGGACGAAGACCGAGCGGCGCAGCTTGGCCCCCGCCGCCAGGGCCGCCACCTCCGCGGCCGTCGAGGGGGAGGGGGGCAGCAGGGGGGGCTCCTCGGGGGTCAGGCGGGGAGGGGCCAGCGGGGCCACCGAGGGGGGCAGGCCGGCCAAGGGCAGCAGGCCCAGCGAAGGGGGAGGGGCCGCGCTGGCCGAGGGGGAGGAGGCCGCCGCCACCGCCATGGGGGGCAGCGTGGGGGGGAAGCGAGGGGCCGCGAAGGACAGGGGGGGCGCCGGGCGGAAGGGGGAGGGCGAGGCCGCGGAGGGGGAGGCCTCTGAGGAGCCGTTGAGGAGGGGGCCCGGGGGGCCGGGCAAAGGCAGCTGCAAGGAGGGCACTCGCGGGTGAAGCAGCGCGTTGCAGACCGTCAGGGCCTCTGCGCAGAAGGACGACACCTGAGAGGGAGGGAAAAGGGTCGCAGGGTCATGGCATTCAAGGGACAACACGCGTCCGTCATCGGCATGTCACCATGTTCTTGACCAACCCACGCTGGCTCCTATTCACAGAGTCAGAAGGGACCTCTGAAGGTCATCCAGCCAACGGCCGACATGAGTCGAGAGCAGGCCTGGGCCAACCTGGGCCCTCTCGCCAGGCGTTTTGGACCCCAACTCCCACCATTCCTAACATCCGGTAGGCTCTTAGGAATGGTGGGAGTTGGGGTCCAAAACGCCTGGTGGGAGGGCCCAAGCCGGTCAAGAGTGTGATGCAGCATCTCACAAAGCCGTTGTGATTCTGGACAGCAACAAGGGGCATTCCAGTGTCCACATCCAGCGAAGACAAAGCCCGAACCCACAAATAACTTTCCCACTTTGCAAAAATGCTTCTCCCCAATTTGTGCAATTTCAATGCAACGATAATAATGGTGCAATTAATTCATTTGAAGGAATCAAAACAACGCACGCAAGCGTAAACGCTCCCCCCCCCCTCCAAGGACGTCACACCTTCCCTGGGTGGGAGGCAATGATATCGATGCAAACCACTGAAAGGAGTGAACACATTGTGTCGTCAAAGGCTGGGGTGTTGTCGTGTGGTTTCCGGGCTGTGTGGCCAATGTGCTCTAGCAGCACTTCCAACTGATGTTCCACCTGCACCTGTGGCCAAGGGCATCTCCAGAGGATCAGAGGGCGGTCAAGCAAGTGGAGTGTATAATCTACCCGTGGAATAATCTCCAGGGTGGGAGGAAGGACCGCTGTCTGTTAACCACGTCTGGAGGGTGGAAGCAGCAAGCCCGGTTTACGTGGGATCCCTCCGTGAGCGTGTGAGAGAAAGAGAAGGTTGCAGAGGAGCCCCCAGGCTGCGGCCGTCAAGGGTCAAGGGGCCCCACCCAGGCCAAGGACGATGCCTCCGGGCAACGCACAATGCAAAGGGGACAAAGGCCCGGCCACTTCCAGGCAGAGAGAGGCCCTCGCTGGACTCTTCTCCCTTAGACACATGAGGATGGGTGGATCCCACTCCCGCGCTTGCAAACCCTTCATTCACACTTGGTCACCAGGCAAGGGCTCCTCCTCCCACCCAGGACATGCACCCCACGGGGATATGCACTCCTTTGACTTCGCCCCCATCAGATCCTCAGAAGGTTCCACAGATGCAGGTGGAACGTCAGGAGGAAATGCTGCTAGACCACATGCATATAGGTACACACACATAGATTTGTTTCACTGTTTTTTACTGAAAATAAATTGAAAATAAATTATATTAATGGACAAAAATGTTTTATTCAGGCAGGCCTTTAAAGAAGAAGGTTTGTAAGGTCAAGCCAGGGGTGACGTGGGTTTTAGTCTGAATATACGTTTTGCATGTTTTGTCTTGATTGTTTAAATGCCAGTGATATTTAATTATGTTTTAACGTTTGTATACCGAAATACAGATTTTAAATGGTATTGAAATGCTGGCAATGAAACTGCTTTGAGTCTCCTGGGGAGGGAAGAACCCTTGTCTGTTTGAAGAGAGTGAGAAAGGCAATCTCAATGCCGTGAATTGCAACGTTTCCACTTGCTTCAAACAGGCAAGGGTTCTTTCCCCTCTCTGGACATTATTCCACAAACGTATACACACACTCCACTGGTTTCACTGCCAACAGAACTGCAGAAGATGCCATGAGCCACAGATGCAGGTGAAACATCAGGAGAGAATGTTGCTGGAATAGATTGACTAGACAGCCCAGAAAACTCACAGCAACTCAGTGATTCCGGCCATGAAAGCCTTCAGCTACACAATAATAATGAGGAGGAGGAGGAGGAGGAGGCCACCATCACCACCACATTGGCCATACAGCCCAGAAAACTCACAGAACCTCCTCCTCCACCACCACCACCACCACAACAACACATTGGCCACACAGCCTGGAAACCACACAAGAACTCAGTGAAAACATTCCATGGCATCCTGATGATGTTAAAATCCCTGGGAACATGTTCCGGGCCCATGAAAAGCGCTGGGCGCACGCAGAGCGCTGGGCGAGAGGGGCCCCTCCCTGGAGGCGTCCAGGGGCCCCGACTGACCCGTGTCCCGGGCGCTTCCGGGGTTCCGGGGGGGGGGGGGGGGGGTTCTGCTCACCTGGAGGTTGGGGTCGGCCCGGCCCTGGCTGAGGAGGCGGAGGGCGCAGTGGAGCGGGGCGGGGGCGGAGGGGGCGGGGGCCAGGGCCAGGGCCAGCAGCAGGCGGTACAGCTCCCGGCGGCAGGCGGCGGTGGAGAAGGGGGACCCCGGGGGGCTCTCGGCCTGCTGACCCAGCCGCACCAGCAGCACCACCACCAGCTCCTGCAGGCGCTGCAGGGGGGGGGAGGGAGGGGGAGAGCGGAGGGGGGCGGGAGAGGACACACATGGTCAAGAGAAGGAAGCCCTTGGTGGGCGATGTTAGCCAGGCCTGGGCTGACTTCGGCCCTCCCCCCCCCCCCTCCCTCCCCCCTCCAGGTGTTTGGACTTCAGTTCCCACATTTCCTAAAAGCCAACCGGGTTCGGTCCTGGGCCTTTCCGTTCTGTTCAATGTCTTCATTAATGACTTGGGTGAAGATTTAGAGCAGGGGTTCCCCCCCCCCACACACACACTTATGGGTCCCTCCCCACGTGTTTACCAGCTGATAGGATTTCTGGGAGTTGGGGGCCAAAACATCTGGGGAGGGACCCACATCTGGGTTGAGCACCACTGGTTTAGAGGGAAGGTAGGTGGATCACTTTTGCAGGTGGGGCCAAATGAGGAGGGAGGGGGTCAGGATGCCAAAGGACCTCCTGGACAGACGAGAGAGCGGACCGCCCAAAACTCCCACAATGAATGTCAACAAGGACACTTGGGCAGAAAAAGGGAAATGCAAAGAGACAGGAGGGGGAAGGTGGCGGGCTCTGCAAGAGAGTTCCATGGGGAAAAGATCTGGGAGTCTTCGTGGAGAACAAGACGGGGAGGCAGCAGCAAGAAAAGCCAAGGGGATCCTGGGCTGCCCCCCAAGGAGTCCAGTGCGCCCATTGAGGAAGAAGGCTCTCTTGATTCGCTCTGGTCAGACCTCTTCCCCGGGAATCCCAGTGTGTCCAGTTCTGGGCAATGCAACTCCAGAGAGGGAGGGATGGACTCCAGGCTGGGAGGAGGGTCCAGAGGGAGAGGTCTGGAGACCTCGCAGAATCCATCCCTCTGAGGAGAACCTCAAAGAGGAGGAGGCTGGGAGGAGCCCCTGCTTACACAGGCCCAGAATTGGACTCAGTCTTCCAGGGAAAGGCTCGCGGTCAACTTGTTCTCCACGGACAGCTCTCAAGCCAGTAGGCTGTGAGGAATTGTGGGAGTTGGAGTGCAGAACCCCAGGAGGGAGGGCTGAAGCTGGGCCACGCGTGAGGAGCTTTGACTTATGTCACGATCCATATTATTACCAGGCTGTTGTAGGTTTTTTCAGGCTATATGGCCGTGGTCTAGAGGCATTCTCTCCTGACGTTTCGCCTGCATCTATGGCAAGCATCCTCACAGGTACTGAGGATGCTTGCCATAGATGCAGGCAAAACGTCAGGAGAGAATGCCTCTAGACCAGTGATGGGCAACCTTTTGAGCTTGGTGTGTCAAAATTTGCCAAAAACCTGAGCATAACTTGGGTGGGGTGTCACTTCGAGAAAAAAACCATAATTTTGCAATATTTATAGTTTAAATAAGAAAAATGTATATTCCATGCTGAGTTATGGAGTGAACAATGCTCAAACGTGCAGATGTTAAATTTGTAGAGCCTTTTACAAATTTAAGGATGGAATTAGATTGGCTCTTATAAGGTGTACTTCTCTGTATGTGGCTGCATGTGTCTGCGTGTCATCAAAAATAGCCATGCGTGTCAGTGCTGACACGCGTGTCATAGGTTCACCATCACGGCTCTAGACCATGGCCATATAGCCCGAAGAAACCTACAACAACCCAGTGATTCTGGCCATGGAAGCCTTCGACATCTAATTACCCCTTCCCACAGATCCCATAACCCTCATCTATGAAGCCACGGAGACACGACTCCGTATTATGGCCTTTCTGCTTTTAAAGTGAACTTTTAAAGTCTTAAAGTTAATGCTTAAGAAGGAGTTCCGCACTCTGTGTGTGTGTGTGTGTGTGTGTGTGTGTGTGGCTGTCATAACAAAACTCCTTCATCCATTCCCATGTAGGGCAGGTGAGCTCACCTTGTGGGTCTGTTCCTTGATGAGGCTCCCGGAAAGGAGGACGGCGCGGCTCAGAACTGGGGGGGAAACGAGAGAGGGGGAGGGAGGGAGGGAGGTTGAAGACGGGGTGGAAGGCCTGCCCGGCCCCTTTCCCCCTTATTCCCAGTTACAGAACCCCCCCCAGCTCAGTTTCCTCCGGGGCAAAAAATGGAGAGAGGGAGGGGCCCACAGCAAGGGCTTCTTGGTCTTGAGGACCCCCCCCCCCTTTTTGGTACACATTTATCTTGTGACATATGAGCAAAAGCAACGATCTTTGAGATCCAACAGTGAGAACACAAGCCTTCTTTCCCGATTCCCACCTGTGAACCCGTGACTCCCGACACCACAACAAATGCAAAAATCTCTCCTGATCCTTGCACGAATACCCTGCCCGCCCCAGCCCGGGTTCAGCTATTCCAAGTCTATTTCTGGCTCCTTTTGGAAATGCCCAAAGGCCGGGCTCCCTTTCCAACAAGCCCTTCTCTGTTTCCTCCTCCTCCCCTCCCTCTCCTGATGCCGCTGGGGATCTCGGCCACTTGGACGGACTCCGCTGCCTCCTTTCCTTCCTTGCCTTCTCCAATCCTGAGGGAGCGGTTCGTGTTCCCCTTCCTTCCAAGGTTTGACTGTCATAATTCTCGCTGCCACAAAGCTACCCTGGCCAACTCCTGCACCGCCTTGGCCCATTCTCTCCTGAAACAGACCCAATAAGCACTTTCCTGGGTTTTTCTTAATCTCCTGAGTCACCACTTTCTTGGTTTCTTTTGTCACCTTTTCCCAAAACCTTTTCACCACCAAACGTGGAATAATAAGGTGCCGCTCTGCCTTTTGCGCCTCCGGCATTCTCCGGCTGGGTTTTGCCAGTTTTAGCCCGAGAATGTCTTTGTATAACCTGGAATCCAATCCTTGGCTTTCTTTCCCCAAAACGTTTTCTATCTCCCATTTCCTTTCGGGGAACCCAATTTCATCGTCTCTCCTTCTTGTGGCTCAGCAAGCGGCAGAGGATTTTTCTGACCTGCCTCAGGATGAGGGTTTGACGGGTTTCAAAGTGACGAGTGTGTCAATCCCAGGAGAGAACTGCAGGAAGTGGAGGCCAATGCTTTGCATCCCTGGGATCGTTCAAGTGAAACGAGGAAGAACTTCCTGACTGTGAGAGCCGTTCAGCAGTGGAACTCTCTGCCCCAGAGGGAGTGTGGTGGAGGCTCCTTCTTTGGAAACTTTGGAACAGAGGCTGGATGGCCATCTGTCAGGGGTGCTTTGAATGCAATATTCCTGCTTCTTGGCAGAATGGGGTTGGACCGGATGGTGGCCCAGGAGGTCTCTTCCAACTCTAGGATTCTATGAAACCAGTTCTCTTGGAAAACAATGGGAGTTTTCCCAAGAAGCCAGATTAGGTTTGAGAACGGAGGGAGTGAAAAACAGACCTATTAGATGTTCTGAGAATCCACGAGAAGACCTTGAAGCGTGGCTGCGAAGTGGTGTTGGCTCTACGCCTCTCAGAGGAGACAACATTGCCATAAGGATGGCTTTCCTGTCTCAAGTTCATGATCTCAGTTCCCTGTTCTGGTCCATGCCTTTGTTCCCTGAAGGGTGTTTGCCTCGGGAAAAGTTCCTGTTCTCCTGCTTACGGATTTATGTTGGAAGGACTGCTGTGGATTTTGGCTCCCTGGGCTTCATGTACTTTGTCATTTCTGGGCGGCTGCTATTTTGCACTCTCTACTCTACGGCCTTTCGGGAAATGCTCTTTCCCCCGTTGTACACACTTCCTATAAGAAACCTTTGTAGACAGGACTACTGGACTCTGGTGCGGTGCCGGGTGACAAGGCGTTTCAGTGCTAGAGAGTGACATTCCCGATTATATCCTGTTCCGAGGCACCTCCCTGAGGCTATGGCGTCATGCCCATGAGGGCCCCCCAAAAGACCCTCCTCACAACCCAGGCCTCACCTTGCAAGGCGGCCAAGCAGACGCTGCTGTTGGCCCCCGGGTCGTGCTTCTGGTGGATGGGGCCCCCCAGGCCCCCCACTTCGGAGGAGGAGGAGGAGAGCTTGGGCTTCTTGGGGGCGCTGGGCTTCCCGTCGGAGGGGGGCCGCCCTTCGCGCATCTGGAGGGCAAAACAAGGCAGAGGAGGTCAAAGGGCACGAAGGGGAGGGGGAAAGGGGTGGGAGTGAGGAGGTTTTGGGAAGTGGCATTCGCAACCTGTGGGAAAGGCACGACTTTTGAGGGATCGTAACCTTTTGGGAATCCAGAAATCTCCAGAGCCTTTTGGAGATCGACTGGCATCCAGACTATTGGGAATAATCACAACCCTTTGTAAAATGTGATCTTCCTGAGGAGAGTTAAACACTCATGTGAGCGAATCTTCTCCTTAGTGGTAAATAGCCATGAGCATCCAATCAGAGGCAATTTAGGTTTCTCGGTTGTTAGACTGATATCCTTGGTTCTCTCCCTGAGCTGTCAGGAACACAGATCATGCCAACGCACAAAAGATCGAGCAGATCTTCAGAAGTGTTTCTTTCAGTGTCCAAAAAACATTGGCTCTCCCGTGAAATATATTGCTTTGAAGTCATGCTCTCAAGAGACCAAAAATTGGCAGTCTTTGTTCAAAGTAACATAGTTGATTTACTCACCAACTTCCTGTATTCTGCACCCCAATCACTCACAGGTACTTTGCTTATTGGCTGAGTAAACAGTAAGCTCTCTAAAGCATTCTGTTCCTGCCGACTTCTAAAGAGGTGTCTAAGAGCTGAATAGTCCCAGATCAGGTCACACGGTCGTCAGAGTGAAGGAGAAACGGCTCACCAACACACACACACACACACACACACAAAATACAGTTGGCAATCTGGATTGTGTACATAACGAATAGCGGGAACGGGAGGGGTCCGCACCTTGAGCGTCTCCGTGGGGGGGCTGATGTCGCTGAGGAGGTGTCCCAGCAAGGCCTCGTCGCTGGGGGTCCGCTGCTGCCCCTGAAGGACCCCCGAGGACGCCCCGGCCACCTGCACCCAAAGGTCCAGCACTTGGTAGAGGCGCGTCCGGACGGCACTGCGAAGGAGGAAGGGAAGCCCGAGGGGGTCAGGCGGAGGGAAGGGCCACCCACCCCTGTGTCCATAGGGCAGGCTGCCAGGAACTGAGGGAGTTGGGGTCCAAGACACCTGGAGGGAGGGCCAAAGCCGGACCAGGCCGGATGGAACTCAACAGGCATCTTGCCTCCTGCCATTTCCCCCAAAACACTGTCAGGGTGGCTCTCCCTACCCTTGGCTTTAGAAGAGAGCGCCATAAAACCCACGAGGGCCACTTCCTCCCGCCGATCTCCTCTTCCATATTTCCCTCCCCCAACACATTTCGTTCCTTAACACATGGTAAATAACCCAGAACCCATGGTAAATAACCCATGGTAAATAACCAGATCACTCCACACCCTCATCCATTATCATTCTACGATTCTGGATGCTGTGTATTCCCACTGAAGGGTCTCCCTGGAGGCCATGCCGTGGGGCCACTTCACCCCATTCTCAAGTCGGAGGGAGGGTCCCAGCTGGCGCTGACCGGGGGCCACGGCCGAGGCAGCCACACACTCACTCACCTGTAGGGCCGCTCCTGCCCAGCAGGGAAGAGGTCCCGCCCGGCGCTCCACGTGCCCAGGACCTGTGGGAAGAGCCTGCGGAGGGGCCCCCCAAAGCGCACCAGGCGAGGGCCACACCTGCAAAGGGAGGGAGGGAGGGAGGGTTGGGGGGCATTATTAGTGGAAAGGGAGGGCCAACTGCCCCTCGGGGAGACCCCACCCCCCAGTTCTGGCCACAGAGCCCCCCATCCCCCCCCCCCCGAGACTCACGCCAGGATGAGGGCCGCGAGGAGGTCCAGGGCCTCCAGGTGGATGGAGGGCAGGAAGAGCATCCTCAGGGGGCCGTCCCCAAACCAGCTCTGGAAGAAGTGTGGCAGCAGTTGTTGTTGTTAATATTATGTTATTATTATTATTATTATTGAAGGGGTCAGAAAGGTCACACAGACAAGCCTGCGGAAGCCTGCGTGGCGTCCGAGGCAGAAGGAGGGGCCACCTGATCAGAAAATGCACCGCACGTCCTTCCCTTTTGCCGCCTAAGCAATGTTAATCAACACAGACAAGTTACTCCCAGTCTCCATCACCTCGCATGACCCTTCTATACCAATCAGCTATGTAGTGCCTTAAAAAAGCTTTGAATGTAAGCCTAGATATAAAAGTTCTGTGTGAAGAGGTCACGGGGGTTTCGGGAACTCGGGCTGGAGTGATCTGCGCGGAGGCCCAGCCGGGCGAAATAAACCTGCGCCTTTTCTTTTCCCAGTTCAAGAAAGGCTTGGCGTGTTTTCTAAGAACCTACCCTAACATTATTATCATTATCATTATTATTATCATTATCATTATCATTATTATTATTATCCCATTGTCTCTCCACCAGGAGACTCAAAGTGGCTGATGTTAAAAGCATTTCCATACAAATATAGAAACATGAAAACAGAATTAAACATAATTGGCATTTTTTTAGAATTCAGATAAATTCATAAAAACATATTCAAAACATCAAGGGGGGGAGGGAGGGGTCAGTCACAGAGCCACTCCCCAAAGGCCACAAGGCCCGCCCTTGAGGCCACACCCACTCACCCCCCCCCCAATTCACTCACAATGTTTTTGGTGGAGATGTCCAGGGCGCGGCAGATGAGGTCCAGGATGTCTTGGACGGGGACCGTGACGGGGGCCACGAACTCTTTGCTGAAAGGACAGGGGAGGGGAAGCTGAGGGTGCTGAGTGCCCGGAGGGGGGGGGAGGGGGGGGCCGGGGGGGGGCTGCTTACCTGAGCATGTGGCAGAGGCACCGGAGCAGCCCCGAGAAGCGCTGGCGCAGCTGCAGGAGGAAGCCGGTCTCCCCGTCCTCGGAGGGGGGCAGCCCCATCTCCACTCCAGGACCCTCGTAAGGGAGGGGGTCTGGGGACACAGAGGGGGGCAGAGGGAAAGGGGCGTGTGAGGAGGACCAAGGGGGGGGAAGGGGTCTCCCCCCGCCTCAGAGACCTCAGGGAAGGAGGGACAAAGGTCAGGGCGGGCGCTCAGGAAGCCGGCCGGTCAGGAGGGAAGCGTTCCAGCTCCTGAGCTGCAATGAAGGATCAACGTCATTCCCAACGGAAGAGATCTAACTGGGTGCTCGGGGGGGGGGGGCAACCGGGGGGAGCACTTGGAAAGTGGCGTCAATAGCGGGAGATGGAAGTCTGCTGGGCGCAACCTTGTGGGAGAGCCACAGCCCAAAATCACCTTGACTTTGGTGACTGGACTACGGCTTGAGTTGGGGAGACCGCCTGCTTTGCCCCTTGGACAGAGCTCTGGCCCCTTTGGATACTTTGCCCTTCTTGGGCCGCTTGCGGCTTGTGTCTTGGACTGCCTTTGACTACAAGACGGTGAGTGGCCGCAGGCAGCAGAAGAGGGTCTGCAGGCACGTTTCCCTGCAGCACGAAGCAGGGCTTGGGTCCTGGCCACGCAAAACAAGGGGGACTCACTCCCTTGTGCCCCCTGCCCCACTTGCCCCCACTTGCCCTGGAGAGACCCACCTGTCTCGGCCCCCTCGTAGAGGGTCCCCAGCAGGCTGTGGAGGGTGGCCAGGAGGCAGTGGGCCTGCTGCTCCCAGCACTCCGTGTACTTGAGCCCCTGCGTGAAGCCGGCGCCCAGAGAGGGGAGGAGGGCGTAGCACTCGCAGGCCAGCTGTGGGGAGGGAGAGGAAACGGGGGGGGGGGGGTCAGACCTGGCATAAGCCCCCTCCCCAATGCCCCCCTGACAGGGAACGTGCAAGCCCCACCCCCAGAGGGGCCAAACTACAACTCCCAGCATCCCTGGCCAAGGGGCTGACAGAAGCAGCGCACCCAAGAACGGCTGCACACCCAAATCCCCCACCCACCCCACTGGCCTGGCGTGAACATGCATGTACAAATAAGAAAAACATGCCACACTTCGCCCTCCCACAACCTGGGAGACTTATGCGCGAGTCAAGGCAGTGCCTGTCCACTCTGGCCCTGCTTCTGGCCCTTTGGAGCGCTTGGGCCAGGCACGCCCAGAGTCTGACCCTGGTTCAAATTCGCACTGGCCCCAGGCCTCTGTCATACAAATCAGTAATATGTAGCCTGCCAGCACTCTTGGCCACAGTATCAAGCACACATGTACAAGGAAGAGACAAAATACATGTGCAACAAGCCAGTTCTGGCCACAGAAGGCACAGTCTCCCAGGGATCTCTCTCTCTCTCTCTCTCTCTCGGTATTTTCAAGTTCCAAGATTACTAAAAGCTCAACAGATCTACGTCTCATGGAAATCCTTGATGTTTTTAGCACAACCACAGTTTGTGTCTTTCTGCACGCCGTTGTTATGCTCCGATCCCGGGTGGGGCTCCAGGATTGACTCCACCGAGACGCCCAAGGAGTGGACTGACCTCCATGAAGGCTGGCGTGACTGAGGCTCAAGGGGGGCACCCCACGCCTAGCCCTCCTGGGATTCTGTGAGTGTGTTTCTGTGTGTGTGTGAACATGTACTTACACAGATAAATTAAAGGCATTTAAATCCTGCTTTTCCCTCTCTGAAGAGAGACTTACAATGTTTGGAAGTATTTGTGTTCTGTGTAAACAACTGAAAAGCAGGCCATTTGCAATGAATATTCATGAAACACTTGATTTCCGTTTAGCGTTAGTGGAGGGTGGCCGGTCCCCCCTTGAGTTCCCCTCACCCACTCTGGCCCATTTTGCAAAACGTTTGGGCGTCCCTGGCTTAGGCAGAACAGGAGCAGAACAGCAACTTATGTCCGGCGCTCCTTCGGCATCATGGTCTCCACAGACTGACCCTTGGCCTCCCGGCCTGCAGCCAACCCGACCGTGGCCCCGAGGAGCCCTGAGTCCCGTCCTCCCTTTGCCTGCAGGTGACCTCCATATCTGTAACTCGAGACCCGCTGCCTGTGATTCATACACGAGAAGGGCAAACGCGACAAGTGTTGCCCGTGTAAACAGAGGAGGGTGCTGAGACCGGGAGGAGCCTTTTCCAGTGCAAACCAGAACACCTGGGGTTGAGAAGGCCCAAGAGATATTTGGGAAGGGGGGGCAGGGGCTTACCTGTTGCAAGCGGGGCACTTCTGCGTCCACGCAGGAGAGGAAGTAGGCCGCCAGTTTGCCCTGCAAAAGGGCAGGAGAAGGAGGAGGAGAGGGAAGGTCAGCCAAGGACTCAGGAGCGCGGCCACCGAGCGCAGGGGGGCCGGACACTTACTCGCAAGGAGCCACAGGCCCGCGGGTAGAAGGTCATGCAGGCCTTGCTTCCTTCCAGGGCGGAGAGCTGGCACTGCGCAAGAGAAGGAGGGGAGAACAACGGGTCGGCTTCTACGCGGCGGGAATGCAAACACTGACAAACAGGCTATATTTGAGAATTAGAAATGAGATGGAGGAAAGAACGGGGAAAACGTGGGACTGGAAAACCGCTCTTGGCCCAGAAAACAGGAGGTGGAAACAAAGGCTGGGGTGAAGCTGTAAGATAGATGATGGTGGCAACACAAGCAATGGCAGCTTTTGGGTGGAAAGAGCCAAGGAAATGGGAAATGACAATGCTGGGAGCAGCAGGCCCACTGCCTCCTGGGCGCCCCCCTCCACAGCCTGCAAATGACAGGAGGGGTCTACAAGGGGGCAGAGACAGGAGGGCCTCTCCAGGGTGAATGGGGGCGGGGGGGGGCACAAGGGAGTGGGCCCCTCTCTGGACAGCCAAGAAAATGAAGTTTTAATACAAGTAAAATAATACAAAGCACAGAGGGAGAGTTGTTCCCGGGGGGGGGGGGGGGGGGGGGAGGAATGTTGAATGTTTTGAGCTATCATAACTATTGGTGTTTTGTATTTTATTATGTGACATCAGATTGTTGCCAATTGGAAGCTACCCTGAGTGTCCCCCCCCCCCCCCGAGAGTTGAGAAGGGCAGGGTAAAAGTGTTGGAAATAAATAAAATAAATAAGGAAGGAAGGAAGGGAGGAAGGGAGGGAGGGAGGGGGAAATGGCTCTGTGCAAGGGGTCAGCAAGGAGAGAAATGCAGAGGACAGGAAAGCAGGAATCGGCAGAAATTCCGAGGACAGAATATATCTCTGTGTGTGGACACCTCCCTCCCTCCCTGCACGAAATGCCCTGCCGCGACGAAGGGCGTGGGGCTCACCTGGGGCTTGAGGGCCAGGAGGGAGGTGAGCAGGCCCGGGATGTGGTTGGTGCCGATCTCGCGCGCCAGGTCCGGCATCTGGCAGGAGAACTGCAGCAGGTCCCCCAGGATCAGCACCGCCAGCTCCATGGTGGGGGGAGGGTCCTGGGACTGGGAAGCAGAGGGTCACACCATCGCGGAGCTGGAAGGCACCCCAGGGCCCATCTCGGGCAGCCCTCTTCTGCCTTCGCGCTGGAAAAGCACCATCAAAGCCCCACCGACAGATGGCCACCAGCCTCTGTTTTGAAGCCTCCAAGGAAGGAGCTTCCACCGGACTCTGAGGCAGAGAGTTCCACTACTGAACAGCCCTTCTTACAGTCAGGAAGGCCTTCCTCACATTCAGGTGGAATCTCCTCTCCTGTCCTTGGAGCCCACGGCTCCTTTGAGGCCTAGTTTCCTCTGCCGTGCTCACATGCCCCCTTGGACCCTTTTGCCCTTTCCTTTGGCGCCCCTCAACCAGGATGCCTGGACACCCCTGATGTAGACGGAAGGGAAGCACCATGCCCTTGGGGTCCCCTCAGGGCCCTCGTGTGTTGCTTCTCCCCCTGCCGTAGCTGCTGCCCCCCCCCCAGCAACACAGGAGATGTCCCCCCTTCCCGCTGCCCGCCCCCCGCTCACCTGGATGAGGTGCTGGAGGCTCCGTAGCCACGGCAGGCAGTTCTGGCTGAAGGTCTCGGTGCTGCTCTCCGTCACCAGGAGCGACAGGAGGCACAGGCCCTCGAACCTTCGTTCCGGGGCAACGAGAAAAAGGAAGTCAGGGCCAGTCAGCCTTGGGTCAGCCAGCCTTGGGTCACCACACACAAAGGCACAAAGGCATCCGGCACCAGGCATGGCCCAGCTGGGTGTTTTGGACTTCAACTCCTACCGGCTGTTCGGAATTGTGGGAGTTCAAGTCCAAAACACCCGGAGGGAGGGCCGAAGTTGGCCCAGGCCTGCTTTAAACTCTAGGATCATATACTTCTATAAGCACAGAAGGCTTGGCGGGTATCTCTCTGCAGATGGGGGGCGGGGCTGGATGCTCTTCCAAGATCCCTTAGAGCCGCCGCAAACTAGGCTCCTGCGGGAGCAAACCTTGCGAGCACGTCCTTGACGTCATGAGACTGCGCCTCTCTCTCTGCCCCTTTCTCCGCCCCTTTCTCCGTGCTAGAGAAGAAAAACACTGGTTTTTCCTTTGCTAGGGCAGCATTGCCAGCGTTCTCTCTCAGTTGAATTCTGCCAACTGAGAGAGTATGCTGGCAATGCTGCCCTAGCAAAGGAAAAACCACTCTGGCACGGAGAAAGAGGCGGAGAAAGGGGCGGGGCGAGAGGCAGGGTCTCATGACGTCAGGTACGTGCTGGCAAGGTTTGCTCCCGCAGGAGCCTAGTTTGCGACGGGTCTTAAGCTTAACCTCTAGGCTCATCTGACTCTATAAAGAGAGGCCGAGTGGCCCTTGGTGGGGAGAAGGGTTTCGATGGCCTCTTCCTGGGACTGGACTGGACTGGACTGGACTGGAGGGTCTCTGGGGTCCCCTCATGATTCTAAGGATGTATGCAAATGCAAATATAATAAGTAATTGATTAATAATTAACAGTAAGGAGGCGCTACTCCTTCCCTCTTTCCTTCCCTCTCTCTCTCTCTCACTCACCGGGTCTTGATGCTTCCCAGCCGGGCGTTGCTGACGCTGAGGAGGCCGCTCAAGGAAGGCGATGCCTGGAGGGAGAGAGAAGCACTGTTGGTACCATTCGTATTATTATTATTATTATTATTATTATTATTATTATTATTGGGTTGCTGTGCGTTTTCCGTCCTGTATGGCCATGTTCCTGTGGCATTCTTTCCTGACGTTTCTCCTGCATCGATGGCAGGCATCCTTAGAGGTTTGTTCAGAGGTCTGTTGGAAATGAGGCCAGTGGGGTGCAGATGTACACTCACACTTGCTTCACAGGCAAGGGCTCTTTCTCCCGCCCTGGACATTGTTTCAGAGATGTGTGCGTGTATGTGTATATGTACGTATGTGTGTGTGTGTATATATATATATATATTACACACTGCACTTGCCTCATTTCCAACAGACCTCTGAACAAACCTCTGAGGATGCTCTCAAGCAACAACAGCAGGCTACCTCTGTGCAGATGCCCTCACTGATTTGACTTTGCAGCTGCAAGGCTACTCAAAGACTTTTCCCGCTTGCTAATTGCAACATTCACACTTGCTTTAAAGACGCACGGGTTCTTTCTCCCTCCCTGGGAGAGAGAGATGCACACATAATATACATACATGCACACACACTCCAAAGGCTTGACCACCATCATATCCTCTGAAGGTGCCCTTGGCCATAGATGCAGGCGGAAGGTCAGGAGAGAATGCTGCTGGAACACATTGTTCATGCAGCGGAAAGCTCACAGCAACCCAGTGACATAAGCGCATTCAAATGTTAATTGGGGTACTATTAAGCAAACAATAAGGTGGGAAGCAGGAACACACACACACACAATGTGTTGTTGAAGGCCTTGAACTGTTTACTGATTGCTGGTTTCAATTCCTTTTTAATACATTGCTTAAGATAGTTGTTTTATTTTGTTGTATTGCTGTTTTGTATTTTAATGCGTTTCAGGTAAGCCGCCCCGAGTCCCTTCAGGGAGATGGAAACATGGAGGCGGGGTATATAAAATAAAGGCATTATGGCTGGAATCACTGGGTTGCTGGGAGTTTTTGGGCCTCATGGCCACGTTCCAGCAGCATTCTCTCCTGATGCTTCACCTGCATCTGTGGCTAATGGCATCTTCAGAGGTTCTGTTGGCAGTCCAAAGATAGATAGATAGATAGATAGATATATATATACATACACAGACACACACAGACACACACACACACCCCTTCCCTAATGGACTTTGAGAATGCAAGGCTACTCAAGGCTATTCAAGGCAGCTAACTGCAACATTCACACTTGCTGCACACAGACAAGGGTTCTCTCTCCCATCTGGACTCAGGTATATATACACACTCCACTCTCTTCACTGCCAACAGAACCTCTGAGGATGCCATGAGCCATAGATGGAGGTGACATGTCAGGAAAGAATGCTTATTTATTTATTTATCGTGTCAGTGCAACCAGTCGATTATATTACATTTCTAACAGAACAAAGCAAAGAAACAGACAAAATGCAAAATTTGTGAGTTTGATAGTTGATTAAATGTCCCTTGACCAGTATCTGGCCCCTTGGAGTGCCTCTGGGGTTGCCGCAAGAAGGTCCTCCCTTGTGCATCATGTGGAAGAAGGGCTCAGGTTGCATTGTAGTAGGTGGTCAGTGGTTTGCTCTTCTCCGCACTCGCATGTCGAGGATTCCACTTTGTGGCCCCATTTCTTGAGGTTGGCTCTGCATCTCGTGGTGCCCGAGCGCAGTCTGTTCAGCGCCTTCCCAGTCGCCCTGTCTTCTTCTGTGTGCCCAGGGGGGAGTCTCTCATTTGGTTCTGGGTTTGAGCCTGCCACTTTTGGACTCTCGCTTGCTGAGGTGTTCTGCAGGAAAGAATGCTGCTGGGATATATTGGCCAGACAGCCTGGAAACCTCACAACAACCCAGCCAGGTGAGCCCCTGCCAATGTTAATCTGGCACCATTAAGCAACCATAAGGTGCTTAATGGTAAGACTGGAACACACCCACACCCAGCGCATGTGTTGCGGAAGGCTTTCATGGCCGGAATCACTGAGTTGCTGTGAGTGTTCTGGGCTCTAGGGCCATGTTCCAGTGGCATTCTCTCCTGACGTTAGGCCTGCATCTGTGGCTAATGGCATCTACAGAGGCTCCGTTTGCAGTGAGGCAAGTGGAGTGTGCACGTGTATGTGCATGTGTGTGGGAGGGAGGAAGTGCCCTTGTTCCCCTTGGACATCCCAGGCCGCGCTGGCCTCCTTTCCCACAGACCCTTGAACAACCCCCGGAGGGTGTCCCCACCCAACAACAGCCAGGCGACCTCTCTGCAGGCTGGTTTCACTTTGCAAACTTCAGGGCTCCTCGATCATGCAAATTGCAGCACCCACACATGCTTGGGACAGGCGAGGGTTCTTTCTCTCAACCTGGACATAGGTATATTACACACACACACACACACACACACACACTGCGCTCTCTCCACTGCCGAGGGCACCTCCGAGGACGCCCTGAGCCACGGGTGGAGGCGAAAGGCCAGGAGAGCATGCCACCGGAGCCCACGGCCTCCATGCGCATGCGCCGTAGGTGTCGCGGAGAGAGCGAGGGGCCCACCTGTGCGCGCGCGCTGCCTCCGTCCCTGGCGCAGCGGAGCAGCCCGGCCAGGCCCCGCGGGGGGAGCCCCGAGAGCAGCGCCTCCAGCGCCAGCCGGGCCCCCGTCGCCGGAGGGGGAGGAGGAGGCGAAGGCGGAGGGAAGCCCGGCGACGAGGACGAGGACACCGCCAACGCCACTGCCGCCGCCATGATGCTCGCCCCGGGCGCACCGCGCATGCGCCAACAGCCGGAAGGGGCGGGACAGAAGGGCCGCGAGGCACGCCGGGAAGGCCACCGCCGGGGAGCCTGGAAACCGCAGCCTGGTGGGTGGGTGGGTGGGTGGCGGGGGACCTTGAAACAACCGCTCCCTTATTTGCATGAATAGGGGCGGGGCCTGTTCCAGGGAAGGAGAAGGGAAAGGGCTTCTGCGCATGTCCGGAGGATGGGGTTGAAATAGAGCATATTATGTGAAATGTATTATGAAAGGCTTCTATGCCACATTGATATTATTTACTTATTATTAATTACTATTACGATATTATTTATTACAGATTTACATTTGTACATATCTTTATTAGAATCATAGAGTCATAGAATCCTAGAGTGGGAAGAGACCTCCTGGGCCATCCTCCAGTCCAACCCCATTCGGCCAAGAAGCAGGAACATTGCATTCAAAGCACCCCTGGCAGATGGCCATCCAGCCTCTGCTTAAAAGCCTCCAAAGAAGGAGCCTCCACCACACTCCCTCCGGGGCAGAGAGTTCCACTGCTGAACAGCTCTCCTTATAGTCAGGAAGTTCTTCCTCATGTTCAGATAGAATCTCCTCTCTTGTAGTTTGAAGGCATTGTAGTTTGTAGTTTGAAGCCATTATGAAAGCCTTCGACACCATATTGTTATTATTTACTTATTATTAATCACTATTACGATATCTGCATGAAAATATGCATATATATATATATATATATATATATATATATATCATTTATTACAGATTTACATTTGTATATATGCTTATTATTTACTTATTCGATTTGCATAGATATATCCTTATTACATATTTATTATTATTATATTTGCATGTATACGTATCCTTATTGTGTATTTCTTTCTTTCTTTTTATACTTACATTTTATATATGCTTATTTATTATTATATTTACATTGATATTTTCCTATTACCATTATTCATTTAGCTTTATTTTTTTAAGTATTCAGTTTTAAGAGGCATACAGTTTACAATTCCTACCACCACCACCATGAGGATTTCTTATTATTACTTCTTATTTATTATGTATTAAATTTACATAATATAGTACAAGGAGCGAGAGTTGACAGCCGTGCAAGCTGGCTTTAGAAAAGGCAGAGTTAAAAAGTTAAAAAAGGTATATGGAAACAAAGCGATGTTGATGTTGTATGGGGAAAATTTGTTGTAAATTGTTTAAAAAATAAAAAGGATTGAGATTTTGGACAGACGATATGTAAAAGTTGTGGCTTGAGATGGGGGGAGGGGAGCACAGTGGTGGGAAAAAAGGGGAAAAATGGTTAAGCAGAATAATAAGATTATATGTTAAAGAATGTGTTGAATAATATGTAACTGCTATAACTAAATGCATAACAAATGTAATAACTATGATAAAACAATAAAAAATATTAAAATTAAGAAAGGCAGAGGAACCAGAGACCAACTTGCCAGCACTCGGAGGCTGGATCATGGAAAAAGGCAGCAAGCTTCAGAGGAACATCTAGTTCTGTTTTATTGACAAAGCCTTTGGGTGGATCATAACAAACCGTTCATGGTGGCATGTATGGGGATACCAAGTGTCACCTTGCCTCTCTCCTGAGGAACCTGCATCACGACCAAGGAGCAACAATCAGAACAGATCACAGAACAACAGCCTGGTTCAAGATTGGGAAAGGCCTACGGCAGGGTTGTCTACTCTCACCTAACCTATTCAACTTGTATCCTCATGTGAGGATACAAGTTGCCCAGCTTGACGAATCCAAGGCTGGGGTGAAAATTGCTGGAAGAAACATTCACAACCTTAGATATACCAGATGACACCACTTTGATGGCCAAAAGTGAGGAGAAGCCGAGGAGCCTTCCAATCAAGGTGAAAGAAGAAAGGGCAAAAGCTGGGTTGCAGCTAAACATCAAGAAACCCAAGATTATGGCAACAAGAATGATTGACAACTGGGAAATAGAGGGAGAAAACGTGGAGGCCGTGACAGGGTTTGTATTTCTAGGTGCAAAGAGGAGTGCAGACGCAGACCGCAGCCAGGAAATCAGAAGACGCTTCCTTCTTGGGAGGAGAGCAACGTCCAGTCTCGATCAAAGAGTGAAGAGCAGAGACATCACACTGGCAACAACGATCCATTGCATAGTCAAAGCCATGGTCTTCCCTGTAGTCACCTACGGATGTGAGAGCTGGACCAGAAGGAAGGTTGAGTGAAGGAAGATAGATGCTTTTGAACTGTGGGGCTGGAGGAAAGTTCTGAGAGTGCCTTGGACAGTGAGAAGATCCAACTCCAACCAGTCCATCCTCCAGAAAATAAAGCCCAACTGCTCATTGGAGGGAAGGAGATGAGAGGTCAAGATGAAGTCCTTTGGCCACATCATGAGAAGACAGGAAAGTTTGGAGAAGACTATTATTATTATTATTATTATTATTATTAAACTTTATGTTTATGAGGAAGAGGGCCTTCTCTGTGGTTGCCCCCTGGCTCTGGAACCCGCTCCCCAGGGAGATGAGGCAGGCACCCACCCTGGCTGCCTTCAGAAAAAGCTTAAATGGCTCTTCTGGTGTGCTTCCAGGGACTGAACCATCCGTGTCCATGCCACGTCCTGACCCAGGGCCAAATCTGCCCCTTGGATGCTGTTCATCTTCCCCCTCAGTCTTGTCCCACCCGGAGACTCAAAATGGCTCACAATCAAAAACATTACAACTTAAAATATACACATATTCAATAAC